CGAGTATTATAATAATAATAATAATAATAATAATAATAATGTTATATGTATTGAAATATTTGAATACGAGTGTTATAATAATAATAATGTTATAAATAAAAAATGATTAAATATTTCTTTTACATATATATTTTAATATAAATATAATAAATTAAAATTTATTTTTAATTAATAATAATTATAAATTATAAATATTTATTTATATATAAAAAATAGATAGTAAAATTAATTTATTATAAATGTAATTATCTTTTTAAAAATAATATAGATCGGGGACGGGACGGGAGCGGGAACCCAAAACCTAACAGAGATGAGGATGAGAACTTTATTTTTAACCCCGACGAGGATCGGGGGCGGGAATAAGAATGATTAAAAAAGTCGGGACCAGCAAGTCAAAACCCGCCCCGTCTTGCCCATTGCCATGCCTAGTCCCCCCGTTGCGTCGCTTCACATCCTACGTCCCGTCTCCTCTATGTGACTTCATCTTTGCTTTCGCCTGTGGGTCTTCCTCTGTATTTGCTGCAACTATAACATCACAGCGTGTGGTGTGTTAATAATTTTGAAATTGATTCTGAATATAGTTATTTTAAATTTATTATTATTATTATTATTGATGATGGTTGATAATGTAGAAAATTTTGGTTGAGTATATTTTAGATTGGTGAAAAATTATGGATTAATGAAGATGAATTTATTTTATTTCTTGATTTGGCTGTGTTTGCTTGAGTTGTGTTCATCCTGTGTTTGTTTGCATTTTGTTCACACTTTGTTTGCTTACATTTTTGTTCATTACGGTTTGTTCACTGTATTTAGTTCCTTGCGTTTTATGATGAATGGTTCACTATGGTTCCTACATTTGAATACAATATGATTTTCCTCTTAAATTTGAATTTGTTTTTTATGTTTGTAGAAGATGGAAATAATAATATTTTATTTGAAACAATAGTTACTTCTCCCGTATTTTTCTACTGAGATGGAACAATTGTATATGTGACGTCATTTTCTCAAATTACTTAAAATAAATGGAGAAATTTTTTAAGCATCCTCCGAGATGCACAAATACTCATAGCAAAAAGACAAAAAAAAATTGCATTATTAAATATTTTCCTTTTAAATTTGGGTCCCGAACTTTTGTAATGTCAAGAACGTGTAATAAATTTGACTTTTGATAAGGTGTACAGGGTTGAAATGAATTGATGTACAATAGAAATTAGAATAATAGGTGAGGTTGAATTGAGATTTTTTTAATATATATATATATATATATATATATATATATATATATTAATTTTTTAAATATATAATATTTTTGAATAAAAAATTTGTTTTTATGATATTTATAAAATTTGAAGTTATATTAATTTTTTTATTAATTACATTTTTAATTTTAATTATAATTATTAGAGAAAAATATATATTAATTTACATAAAAACATTTTAATTTGATAAAATATTAAAATAACAAAGATATTAATAATAAATTATTAATAACTTTATTAAAATAATAAAAATTAATATTTTCTTTAATATTTGTAAACATATTTTTTATTATTTTTTATTTTAATAAAATAAAATAAAATAAAATAAAAATTAATTATATTTTTATAATACTATTTAAAAAATTTATTTGAATTGGATTGACCTTGCCTTAAATATATAAAAATAGTTATCCAATCTAAAAAGACTGAGACAGAACATAAGAATATTTATTAATTTCGGTAAAAGACAATCCTATTCTATCGAATAAAATCCAAAATTTAGGTAAAATATAATTTAATACGACTTCGTCTCTTACCAGTTTAATGAGAAATTTTATATATTTAATTCACAATTTGAGTTAATTTAGTCGTGGATTAAATTGATTAAATAATAATAATATAATAATTATTAAACTATTTAATTATTATATTAATATATATATATTAAAAATATTAAACTATTATATTACTTAAATATTAAATAATATATTTTATTTAAAAATAATTATTTAAACATTAAAATATTTAATAAAAAATTATGACATCTATAAATAGGATAAAATGGGTTAAAACGAGTAAAAAAAAATCCAACCTAAAAAAAGTTTATTAAATTAAATTATGGATTTGGTGAAATATGACTGAATCCAACTCATCTATACCAATACCCCTAACAGATTAGCTAGTTTTGACTAATCAAATTTATAAAATTTTAATTGAATAGGATTGACTAATTCAATTATCTAATCTAATAAATACCATATCTACTAGTTAGCATAAACAAGTTCCATATTATACATCCTTCAAATGAGTAGTAATTTTGATAAAATAACAGATTTTAATAAACACGAATTTCAAATTATTAATATTTAATGTATTGTAGGGTATGAGATTTGATTGAATGGCTGGATATTATGCTAAAGCCATTCGAAGGAGACTTTTCTTTCATGCTATTTTTCATTTATTTTAGAAATATGTTTTTATATTTATAAGAAAGTTATTGAAAGTATTTTTTTTATTTCAAGAAAACTTGTATTTTTATGTGTTTATATTTTTTTAATTTTTCATTTTAAAGAGGTGAATGAGTAGCATTCTTATAAAAATGCAAAATATAAGGTTTATTTAATGGTTGACAAAATTAATATTTATCGACAAAATAAAATATTATCGTGAAAATGTGAGAATTTTTTTAAAACATTCTTAAAATAGTAAAATGTAGCCAAACACATTTTTAATAAAAAAATTGTTTTTTATATTTCCAATGCATGTTTAATTTTAGGGATAAGTGTATTTTCTGTTCTTATATATATTTCGTTCAAATTTATCTTCAATTCTCGTGTATTTAAATTGATAAATTCAATTCTTCAATTTTTAAAAAATATGTAATTTTAATATTTTTTAATGTTTAAAAATTGATTAATCAACTTTGAGATACATAGACCAAATTAATAACAATTAGGTTGGATGGGTTTAAAAAAAAAGTGTAAAGGGTATGCTTAGAATAAATATATATTTTAAAATTTAATGATTATTTGTCTTCTATTTACTTTTACTTTTATTTACAATTATATTTTAACAAGTCTCCGGGTATATATATATATATATATATATATATATATATATATATATATATATATATATATATATATATATATATATATATATATATACTAATGTAAAATACATTTGAACAGAAGACCAAATTTTACTGAATGAGGCATTAGAGAGTTTCTAAATGTGCACACACTCTACCCATTCTTTTACCTACACCATCACCTCACACTCCTTAAGTTAGTGTGTCGAATTTTTCTTCAGATATCGGAGTCTTTAATTGTATACAAGAGAATAGTTTGGTCCAACACTTCATTCTTGTCGTGAGTTTTTCTTACATTCAAAATATAGTACAACTCGTTAGTTATTGGAGCATATATATGTTGTTTCTTGACTTGTTGGCCCTCAAATATGCAACAATGCATTTACAATTTAAAACTTAGTATTTTTTGCAACAAAAACCAACTACTTTACGTTGATTCCATGACCATGGATGGAAAAATAACATTTTTATATCAGTTTTAAGTTCAATAGATGTAAAAACTTCTCTTTTTATATAGCTTCTATTTTGAGTAGATGTAAGACTTCTCTCTTGAAGTCCATTAATTTTATCATCTCTTTGGATCTACTCTCCAATATGAGACTGTATTTAAGAGAAACTATGCATTGTTTGGTAAAAGAAGATAGAGGTTGAGGGTTGAGAATTGTAGGTTGCAGAACAACGTTTTGATGTCAAAATATTATGCTAGAAAAAGAGTCTTTTCTGAGGAAATAGGGGTTCAAATCCGTGGAAAAACTTTAGTTAAAATAAAGAAATGTGAGGGATTTGGGAAGAATTACAGAAAAAAGAGTGGGCGATGGACAGAGAAGAAACTCTATTATGGACTGATACTTAAATTTGTGATATTTATGTTCCCTAGGCTGTGCGATTAATGTTGCATCAAACAATAATGAAAAAATGGGTCTCCCTAGGAAAAATGGAAGTTGGTGTTGGGTTTGGAATTGGAAAAGAAGTACTATATTTTTTATATTACTGTTTACATATTTTTTTGTTAAGAAAAGTAAAAAACGAAAAAAAAAAAGATATAATGAAAGAAACAAGGAATCTGTGGTAGGTAATATCTTAGCACTCATTTAGGACAAATTGGTTGGATATTAATTGTCCTTCTTAAAGAGAAATGATATAGACGAGATCATATGGATTTGGTGGTTGAAGAAAAAATTACCAATTTTTAATCACTCTTTGCTGCTTTGGTTTATGAGCCCAGGTGATAGCTTAAACTTTGACCACTCTTGGTGAATTCTGTATATATAGGAGTGAGCATACAATACAGCAAGCTATTTATTTTGCACAATCTATGATTCAGCAGCTGATAATAACCTTAGACACCCTGTGTAGAATTGTTGATATGATTATTTTGGTTCTGATTTAAGTCTGCCATATGGTTTCATTTTTCTGTGATAAGGCAATGTTAACTTCTGATTTTTTTTGGTTTGATTATGAAATGCATGATAGGAAGTTTATATCGTATAAATGTGTTGCGGGGATGATATCAAAGGGAAAATATTGAATTTTTATTGTGCTGGACTTGCTGCAAGATTCACAAGTAGAGTAAAGGAGAGTGTTGAAAGGACTCACTGTAACAGGCATAAGGTAATGCTTTCAAACTGTCATACGGCTTTCAGATCCAAAACTATGCTGGTCCAAATTGCAGGTTAATTTGAATTATGGCAACAAGGGGATTTGACAATACAAGTAGTATTTCAATTTCAACATACAAGTAGGAGTACTCTCGAACTCTTCTCAGTACTTTTTTTTTTTGCTGATAAAAGAAACATGTGTCTTGTTGATTTATTTTCGTACTGACCCAAGTAGAATCAACACAAACATACAAGGTAGAGAAAAAAGCCTAATCCCAGATGCACCATTATGAGCCCTTATTACTTACTCTTGCTTCTTCATAATATACAAAATCAAGATTCAGGGTACTGAAACATGTGAAAGGAAGGATTAACAATGCTGAAGCCTCCATCTATGAGCAAATTATGGCCACTCACATACCTTGAATCATCAGTAGCGAAATAAAGTGCTGCATTGGCCACATCATCAGCTTTGAGGGTGACACCCTTGAGATTGGCCAATGAGTTCATGATAGTCTCAAGCCCTTCATCATCAGCTTCAACAAACTTGGTGGCCAAGGGAGTCGCAAGAGCGTAAGGTGACAAACAATTGACCCTGATTCCGAACTGTCCAAGCTCAACCGCTGCATTTTTAGTTAGACCAACCACCGCATGCTTAGCACAACAATACGCATGCGAGGCTGCACCACCAACGTAAGAGCTTATGCTCGCTGTTGAGATAATGCTGCCACTACGTGCTGGGATCATCGCCTGTGCCGCATGCTTGATCCCAAGGAAAACACCTGCCACATAAGGTACAACAATAATACAAGAATATAAATCACGACAGTATCGGTTTGTTATACATGACTTAAAATGAGATTAATTGATGGTATTTAGAAGTGTTCGTTGGTTCCTTAAGTGTTATACCCGTGACATTGACGCTGAGTACACGTTCAAAATCTTCCTTATCGTTATCGATGATTCGATGTTTGTTGGGATCAACTATGCCGGCGTTGTTGAACATGATGTCTAGCTTGCCATAAGTTTCCACGGCTTTGTGGACAGCATTTTTGACCTGGTTTTCATCAGTCACATCGCAATGGACATAACAACACGTTGATGGCCCTATGGACTCAGCCACGGAATGTCCCAGTTCGTCTTGGATGTCAGCGATCACTACTTTGGCTCCGTGCTCGGCGAACTTTTCTGCAGTGCGTTTCCCAATTCCACTAGCTCCTCCTGTTATCACTGCAACTTTCCCTTCCAATCTGCACGAAAAAAAAGGGATTATATTCTCAAAACCGAACCATTTATATTTCATTCTCGCTTCGTACCTTCTGTTGAGCGCAGAGCTTGAGCTTGCCATTGATATCACCTTGGATTAGGTTACGAATTAGGGACAAGCTTAATATATAGAAATAGCAACGAATTAATTAGTATAAAGGATTACAAAGTTGTAACAACTACATAAAATTAAGCATAGAAGTTGATACAAACGATGTTGCTTGCGTCGATTGTACACAAACTTATTCGGATTCTCTGCTTTACACGACAAGGCTAGCTCCCGCTATGGACAGGGAATAATCAGCTTGGAATCTTATCCGGAAACGAACACCAAACATTACTTATCCCCTATTAGCCACATATTAATGGAAATGAAGACTCTTTTTTTGGTCAATTTTTAAATTTAAAATATTTGTAAAATCTAATTACTTACATTATTATATATAGAAAAATGGTATTTCCTTAATAGGGTTACAATAATAAAGTATTAACGAATATTTAATAATTAATAGTCACACGTATAATGTAGTTTTATTTTATTTTATTTTATTTACTAAATTAAAGAGAACAGTTATTTTATACGATTAAATTTTTCATTGTAGAAGTTTGCAAAAGAATTATCTTCTTAAGATTTAATTATTTGACTAATACTTTACTGTGTCCTTAATCATAGAATAATTAAATCTTAGGAATCCATTCAAATGAAAAAATTCACTATATTATGATGATAAAGACTCTTCCTAATACTTTGGGTTGAGTTAAAAGGTGATATTTTTAATTTTTTTTATATTTCATTATTGATAATCTTCTTATTTTCAGTGATATTAGAGTTGATAATTCGTACTGTGATTGACTTAGTAACATATTTTTAAGTGTGAAGTTTTTTTACAAGAGTTTCATACAAATGAATTTTATTCAGTTGATAAACTATAAGTAAAGTAATTATTCTTATTGTTAATATTTCTCGAAAATACCCAAAAATAAATACAAGAAAAAAAAATCTATAAAATATACAACAAGAGGATCACAAAAGGCAATTTTTAATAAAACAAAATAATATTATTTTACCAATTTTACTACTTACAGAAAATTGGACACATGTCAACAAAAGAAAAAAAAATCTTTAGCTTATGGTCCCAGCTAGCAACGATGCTTATAGAAAAAAAAATAATCTATAAAATATACAACAAGAGGATCACAAAAGGCAATTTTTCCTATGTGTCACTTTCACAAAATTACAAAAAATAAAACAAAATAATATTATTTTACCAATTTTACTACTTACAGAAAATTGGACACATGTCAACAAAAGAAAAAAAAAATCTTTAGCTTATGGTCCCAACAACGATGCTTATAAGAAACTGCCGTCTGAACAATTTTGAAAAGTTAAGTACAATATCTTGGAAAAGCAACGTTTCTAAGAGTTGTTTTTCCCGATTTTTTTCCGTTTGTTTCCACGGTTTTCATCAACATTTTATTTTTATTTTTTTTAATTTAAATATATTATTTATTTTATTTTAATAATTAAATATATATTATTATTATTATTGACGTGGTATAGTGGGTCCCATTAAAGTCAAAATTAGTAGTTGAATAATGAGTTTCTTATAAGAACCCACAATTGAAGTAAATTTGAAAAAAATTTGAAGAGGGTTACTTAAATATAATGTAGCACTATGGATCTCACTTAAGAAACCAATGTGTGTTCTTATAAGAACCCATCATTAGAAATACTCTTACGCATTTATCTCCTACGCTTCCTCTTTCTCCTCAAGCTCTCACCTCCAGCACTCATCATCTTCTTCTCTCTTGCTTCCTCTTTCTCCTCACGCTCTCATCCCATGCGTCCATCTTTTTCTCTTTTGCTTCCTCTGTCTCCTCACGCTCTGATCTCACTCTCTTTTTGCATTGCACTTCATCCCACAAAGGGCTTTTGTTACAGTTTCTCCTTTTGTGTTACTATTTAAAATTGCAAAATTTGACATAAATTTCAATATTTGTGTTTTGCCAAAAGCATATTCAGATTCAGACATCAAACACATGCTTAAGGTTTACAATTAGGTAAGTAAAAAATCTGCTAACTTTTGTAGGGGTTGCATATCCATTTTACTGAAATTGTGAAATGTTTGCAAGTTTACAACTTTGTAGATGGACGAAAATGGTAAATTGTACTACACTTCTTGCATGCACTACACTTCTTGCAGGTCCGCATATGTTATTTCTTTGTCATTACTTACATTTCTCACATTTGTTCTTCCTTTGCCATTTGTCATTTCTAGCATCTTCCCTTCCTTTGGCATTTGTTGTTACATTGCTATTTCTATTTTCTCATTGTCCAACATGTCCAAATTTGAAAAAAAATATCACTCTATTTTTGAACTCAATGCTAAAAAGGAAAAATGAACGTTATTGGTCAAGGTCATTCTTTTGTGGTTTGTTTCAAATTTCACTAAACAAAAGTTGCCATTTTTGATGGAATTTGTTATTCAAGATATGAAGGTTTGTTTAACTATTTAATTGTACATGGTCATTAGAATGTATATTTCATCAATTGATGCTTTGTTTATGTTAATGCAGGATGCTAGAATTCAAGCATCGATTAGGAGGTCTTTGATTTATAAATTCCAAAATGAAATTCATGAGGATAATGTCTACTCTGTTCAAAATTTTAGAGTTGGATTAAATGATGGTTCTTATAGAACCACCTACCATCCATATAAAATTAACTTTTAATTTGGAACCAAAATAGTCTTACTTGATTCTAATCTTATACCCGATAATACTTATGAATATATATCTCTTTCGATTGTTGTTGCACGTGGATTTGATACTGATTACTTAGTTGGTAAGTACATAAACTTTGTCTTATTGTTGTTTATTATCATTTACTATTTAGTTTAATGTTATTAATGTTAACTAATCATAATATTAATAGTGTTATATTTTACACACAGATGTAATGGTGTTGCAATCAAGATCACGACAGGACGATAAAATTAGGTTTCTAAATGAAAAAAAAAATGGAGTTATGACCAATATTTATTTTAAGGAAAAATATCGAAAAAAACCTTCAAAAAGAAAAGAAAGTAATCTGCAAAATAAAGATTGGGTTCGAGAGTCGATTATATGTAAGGAAGGTATTAACACCTTACGAGCATCCGTTCTAAACATGGTTACCTTTAATTAGACATAAAAATTTAAATATCTTAAAATTATCTATTTTATCCTCCAAACTTATATATCGATTAAATGTTTACGTATCCCAAGGTGCAATGGAAAATATGAGTAACGTAGTTCTTTCTTACAAATATTTATGAATAATTTATTTTTATTTATCTCTTTATGTGGTTAAATTAAATGTATGCAAATAAAATTATGTAATAATCAAATTAGAAGTACATTTAAAGTGATTATCATTTTTATAATTTGAATAATAATTAAATCGGAAGTGTATCCAAAGTAATTTAAATGTTTAAATTACCGTACTTGTAATTTCTATTTAGATTTAAAATGTATATATTTTTTTAAAATATTTTATTATAATCAAGTCAAAAGTACATTTAAAGTGATTATTATAATTTTATAGCAACCAAATTAGATATGCATCAAAGTGGTTAAACCTTTATGAAATATTTTCTTATTTCTCTAATAACAATAATATTGCATGTTTAATAGCACTAAAAAAAGAAAGTGATAATTAAATTTAATTGTCAATATACTAATAATGATATATTAATTTAAATCATTAATATATATATATATATATATATATATATAATCATTCTTATTTGAAATTTGGATAAATTAATAATAATAATAATAAATTTTTGATTCATTACTATTTATAATTTGTTTTTTGGAATGTTATCTAGCTTAAGAAAATAAAATAAAAGGGAGAAACTATTAGGCCCAACAAAAATTCTTTCACACTTATTTCACTATTTAAAAACTTTTTTTTTTTCTATTTTTCATTTTGGGTCTATCTCTCTTAAGTTCAACCTCATCTTTTATGAAGCACCGTGCAAGTCTAGGGCTAATTTGGGTTGCTGTGATGAAGGCACGACCACGACAGAGTGACGGTGAAAACTGGAAGCGGTGATGCAAATCATAATGGAGGAGATGTGGGCAGAATTAATGGTGAAGAAGGGAATCAGAGCTTAGGGGCAGCTAGATGTAATCAGGGTGGCAAGAGGTAGTTGGGCAAGATAGATGAGGGTGCGGTGGCCGGTTGACGAAAAAAAAAAAGAGAGTGAGGCGCGAGAGTGAAAGAGGAGATGGGAGTCGGGACTCTGTGAGTCTAAATCTGGAAATGGGTGAAGGAGAAGGATTTTGTTGGAGAAAAAAAGGGATGGATGAGGTGGAGAACGCAGATATTAAGGTCACAACTGGGCTACGGTGGTGCTGTGTGATAACAATATTTCGGTAGTACAAAATACTGATAAAAAAAATAATAAACAAGTTGTTAAACTAAATAATAAACAAGTTGTTAAACTAATACAGTATAGCTAACCCGTGTCAAATCTCACAAGGACATAATTATAGAATATATTCATTATCACATATCATCTCTCTAAAAAAGTAAATAAGGGAATAAATGAAAGAGTGAAAAAGAAATAAATTGATGCAGAATAATAAAAATTAAAATCAAATTGCTATAGAATATTAACGACAATTAAAATTAAACAGAAACAAAATTTAAATAGTTGAAATTTATAAAATTAAAATAAAGTGTTTTTAATTAAAAGTGCAAGAATCAAGAATTGTTTCAAAATAAAATAATGCAATAATTAAATTTGAAATTAACAAAAATAGAATTTGAGTAAAACAGTGAGAAAGCAATTGATTTCCTGCATGCAGTGTCACTTATCTTAGGTTATGAAATTAAATTGCTTTAACCCTTATTCCAACCCGAAATTAATCAACTAAGTGAAGATTAACCCAAATTATTCTTAATTAAGTATTACATACATCGCATAATCTCATCTCTAACACGGGATTAAGCAAATTGTGATACTGGTTTCGGTTTATTAAGCATAAACAAATTATAATTCAACACTGACATTAGGAGATGAAGAGTTAAGA